ATCGGAGCAACTGTGACAAATAATCCAACTGAAACCGGCATTGACAATGACTATGTTTTTAAAATGCGCTTAGAAAAGCCTGGTTTGGACACTTTACGGGCAGGAGAAACATTTATATTACAGAAAAAACTAGAGAATGCAATTCCTGAAGAAATTGCTAGTGAGAATGCTTTATGCTGAAAAGCTGACGCTGAAATGCTATGCTGAAATGCAATGTGTAAGAAGAAAGTGAAGAATTTAGATTGAAATGATACATGAACACTGGGGGTTTGAGTGTGTGATGAGAGAAGAAAAGAAAGTAAAAAGGCTTGGAAAAGCAGCAGAATATTTGAACTGCAAACTTTTGAACTAACTTGATGGCGAATGATCTGTCGCTATGCCAACGGCATTTGATGACATCCCATAATACGCTTAGGTGCGTTGATAGCTGCATCGTTACCAAACCTGTGAAGTTTTGGTCCGTTTGGAGTATTTTCACTGTTATGTTCAAGTTATGAGAAAACCGTGTTTCAAGGCGAGCATTGTGTTGCCATGGCAACGGCATTTGAAGAAATCTCAAAACTGTCCCGTAGATGTCTTCACGGCTGGACTGTTAGCACACATGTGAAGTTTGAGCACTTTTTTAACATTTTCATAGGAGTTATAGCGACATCATGTTTCATGGCGAGGGATGCGTTTCCATGGAAACGGCATATGGTGAGATCTCAGATTTGGCGTAGAGCTGTTGAGGCATGGACCGGTGATATACAAGTGAAGATTGGGGGTCGATTGGACTTACAGCGACATCATGTTTCATGCCGAGTGGTCTGTCGCCATGGCAACGACATTTGTTGACAACCCATAATACGCTAAGATGCGTTGATGGCTGCATCGTTACCAAACCTGTGAAGTTTTAGGCCATTTGGAGCATTTTCACTGAAGTTATGAGAAAATCGTGTTTTATTACATTACTCTCTCTCTTCTCTTGATCGCCCTCTCTCTCTTCAGCATATGATGATGACACCCCATAATTGACGTAGAGCCGTTGAGGGCAGGACCATTAAGCATTATCTGAAGTCTGCTGCTCTGAGCATGTCAGTTGGAGTTATGACATCATCGTGTTCCATTACACAGGTGTTTATAGTTGAGCTAACGAGCTCTGCAGAGATCACAGGTTTGCATTGTTCTGAATGAGAGATAAACCTCTTACATGTGAACGTTTTGTGGAAGAACCGTAACAGATATCTGTGAAATTTCAAAACGTGAAGCATGTCAAGGAGGTTGAGTATCTGAAGTGTAATTTTTGTGTACTTTCGGGTTAATAATGTGGCCTTTTTGGCAGTTTAACTAAAGGTGTGCGGCTGCTACCGTGGGAAATATCTGCCTGAAATTACAATGGGCTTTAATGGAGGCATGTTGAAGGTTTTTGTCACTTCATGCCCTCAAGAGGCATTTTGTTTAATTATTTTTTGCTTAATGTCATTTTTCAAGCTACGAGATGTTTTCCTACGTTTGTCATGACAAATTATGTCTCAGGAATGTAGGGTTTGGGAATTATGGCAGTTTTAAAAAAAAATATGAAAGCAAATCTCAAGATTTCCTACCCTCTAGCTGTGACATCACGCACTCTAGTCAATGTTAAAATCTGAAGAAAACCTCTTTAACAAGGTCTGAACAATATTATATATATATCTCTAAAAGTAAGAATCAGATTTACATGAATAATGTCAGAAAGATGTGTAACATTTTAAAGTTGGAATGAGCTTTCTGAGTGAAAGTATGAATGAACAGTTAACAGTTGAATTCGCATGAAGACTACTTGAAGTCTGAAGATTTCCTCCATTAAAAATGTGATGAATTATGGGATGTATCTCTGGAATTATGAAAAAGTTATGAATGAGAAAAGTAATAGCCATCGATTCCTGACCGAGGTGAACGTTTTGATGTTTGAACGGAGTTTCTGCGATGTTCAATGCGGGAGAAGAAGCGCGGCAAATAAGTCGGCGGAATATTAATAAACTTTTCGTCCGTAGAATGACATATAGTTGGAATGCTGTATTAGCATTCCCACTAAATCATGTAAAATCATGTGAAGCCCTCACCTGGCCCTTCATCCTGCTCTCTGGTCTGATCTTCCTCTTTGGCACGTAGCCTCTGTTCACCAGGATGGTGATGCTGCAGGAGAATGGAGCAGTGAGTTTTGGATTTAAGACTATGCAGTTATTATTTTCCCTTCACAGTGTTTATTACCCGAGGTCGGTGCAGTAGAAGGGGGTGACCACATAAGCGCCGGTCTCTCCACTGGAGGACAGCGTGCCCGCCTCCCGGGCCTCCTTCTCGGGGTCCACAGGGGAGCGGGGGAGGATGTACAGCTCCTGGGAGTGGTCGAATTGTCCTCGCACTTTCACCCGTCTGTACTCCAGGCTCTGCAGCTCATGAGGACTAAGACCCAGGGAGGAAAAAGACTAAGTGTAAACTTCATACAGGTAAGAATTCGAAGAAGTGGGGGGAGACAAGGACATGTCGTACCCTCAGTTATAAGAGGAGGGATTGTAGTTATTGGTTAAGTTGTTAAAGTGCTGTTCAGGGGTTTAGTCCCTGCTGTGGCGGACACAGGTTTGAATCCTCCATGCAGTCCATTAACACATTTCATCAACACTCACATTTTTAAATCTATCTCCCTGATTAAGGCTTCAATTGTCCAGAAAATGGTTTAAAGTGCATTTTATCACTTTATTGTTCACAGTATCACAATTGGAGATGTGTGCTTTTGTAATCACTGTTTCTATAAAATAATGTTGTGTTCTTGCCGCTCGCAATGAGGAAAAAAGGATTCTTCTGTTAGTGTTTGGATTGATTATGCTCCTTATAGTCTGAGTGCTTACATTTTTCTGAATTGTGAAAGGTGGTTATACTGAAAAACAAAACAAAAAAAGAAAAACTGTCCAGATCAAAGTAAAAGTATGGATTTATAAACTAATAGTGTGTGGGTGTTTGCCTCTAACATGATCTTACTCCAGAGGCAGAGGGATGGGCTCAGCAGTCGTGAGTCGGTTCAGCTCAGCGATCAGCTGCATCTTCCACTGACGCCGTTTCATCTTCACAGAAACACAAATATCAGAGTCCATCCAACGACAGCAAACCAAAGATACATCAGCATTATTTGAAACAGTGCTATGACACAAAATAAATATAAAGACAGACCTGCCATGTACCAAGGCCGAAGGTGGTGGCAGGGATGAGCAGCAGGAGCCATTTGAGTAAGGAGTCTTCTCCTCTCTGAGCCTTGGCTACTGTGGAGGACGACTGGCGCCCGAAGGTGATCAGCCTGCCTGTTCACAACATGCAGGACAGGAAGTGAAGAAGGTAAAGTATATGTGTAAAACATTAGGCTTGTTTGAGACGCGTTACGGCTCGCCTCGAAAGTAGACGAGAATAGCCGATCGCAGCCGGGGGAGGTCTCAAAAAGCTCGCCTGAAGTCGGACAGCTCCGAGTCGGCTTCTTCTTCTTCTTCTTCTTCTTCTGCTGCTGCTTTGCCTTCTTCTTCTTCTTCTCTCGGTTTTTTGGCGGATTGCAAACAACTTTAAGGTGCATACCGCCACCTCCGGAGTCGGCTTGACTCGGTTTGCATTTATAAAGAATGCACACATGTGTTTAATTGTTAATGTCAGATATGTACTAAGTAAATATATTTGTTCCTGCTCAAGATTAGATTCAACTTTATTGTTATTGCACATATTACAGGTACTGAGACAACGAAATGCAGTTCAGCTTCTAACCAGGAGTGCAACAAGCAGTAAAGTGAAAAGTAATGTACACAATCTACAGAATAAAAGATAGAATGAATTGAATGATGAATAAACAGTGAGGGGTATGAATACACTAATATACACAGCAGCCTGTGAGCAGTATGAACAGTGTGTATGAATATGCTAAGATATATAAAGTATGAAAACGGTAAGCAGTGCAAGTATAGTATAACATATATAGATATTAATTTCATGGTGATAAACATTGTGGAACAATGATGAAAAATGTGAATGGAAGTGGCGACAGAAACTGACACAAAACAACAACAAACTTTTGCCGAGCCAATGGAGAGCTTCATCAGCAGCACGGGGTAAAAACCACCAATGAGCGCTCAGCTCGAGATACCAGCGAGTCGTTTCCCATCAAGCATTTCGCCTCCGCAGCCCGTGGAGAGAAACTTTTTTTCTGAAACTGCGTCGCCTCGCTCTCAAGGCTGCGGGCGTCTTTGTCCCGCGAGATTTCAAGGTCTCAGGTGAGCGAGCCTCCAGAGCAACTCGGACAAAATGACTAACCATCATGCAACGCATTTTATGTCTTTAAATGTGTGCAATATTTTTTTTAAGAAACTGGCTTCTAGTAAGATTATCAGAGTCAGGTTTACACACAAGCAATTCGTTCTGGTATACTGGTACATATGCACTTAGTAGGTATTGCAAACAAAAGATTGAAACATAAATATAGAGTAGAATACAAAACAAATTCACAACACAAACATATTGACATTACCGTCACATAATTAGTCCTTTAGAGTGGAGATGCTGTGCAGTTTTTTGAAGAAGTAGTTCTGATGTTCAAATAAATTACCTTCTGCACGTTTGAAGAGAGGCAGTCTGGGCAGGAGGAGAGTCCTCTTAATATAAATAACATGTGTCTGAAATAAATAACAGAAGAGGAATAAAATCTAAAACCACTGGAAAGTGACATTCACAACAACACAGTGAAGGTTCTTTATAATGAAAAACTGTCAATTAAACAAAATAACTTACCTGGTTCTTCAGGGTCGTTAAGACCCTGTTGGAATAAAGAAGTGCTGATTTTAAAGAAGCCATTCTCAGTGAAATACTAATGCAAATATGTTTTAGAATGGTCCGACTACATAACAGCTATCCTACATAATGATCAGAAGGGGGACCGCTTATGGTGTTACTCCTTCCGGTTTGTGACGCTCCGCCCCGGCGTCTTGACCACATGTTTCAGAAATGTGTTGATATTTTCTGACAAGAAACTCTGTTTGTATTCTTTCTGCTTGGATCATCTCAGACAGCTCCACGGTTCTTCCATCATGATGGACCTCGCCGCTAAAGACTCGTACATGCAGAGGTTTGCGAAGAAAGTGTTTTTTCAGCAAGAGCAGGAGCCGAAGAAGAGAGCGTTTGGTAACGTTTTACCGTATTTACAAAATAACGTGGATATAATACTTGCCTATAAGTTAGCTGTATTTATTATGGGCGGTTTATAGTGTATGTGTTATTGGTGGTAGAAAATGGCTTATAAAGTGTCATTAAACATGCGGTTATTACTGCATGTGACCAGAGGAGGCGCTGCACTGTGTGGAGAACAACGAGTGGAGTTCTATTGTTGAATGCTTATTTATTTTAATCCATAAATGCTTTTTGATGTTTTTATGAGAGAACAAGCACTCTGCTGCAAATCAGGGAAATAAATAACACAGCAAAAATGCTAATGGTATAATAGTAAGAACATGCCCTTTAGCTTATTGTTTTAATGTTATTAATTTGTTACAATTCTGTTGACATTGTTTGTCCCTTTTGATTCCATGATGATATTTACAGTCAAGGCAATTGAAGTATTTCTACTAAATAAATACTCTACTGTTTTTGAAATGATTATAACATTTTGGTCATTTACCAAGCAAAACACTGCATTCTCCTTTCTTTGCTTCATAAATGCATTTTTGTTGCTGCTTTCCATTGGTTTTCATGTATTCAGAATATGAATAGGACTTTAAGGAATTAGTTGTAGTGCACAACTGAAAGCATTTTTTAAACATCATACAAAATGTCTTAGATAATATCATGTAAAATGCTACAGCTAGATTGATGACTTTCTGAAACTAAGTTTCCGCCACTAAATCAGCTGACTTTGATATTTGTCTTTTATTTAGAGAATAGGGAATTAAGATAAATATTATTTATTTCCTTTTGGTTCACAGAAAAGCTTCTGACTTGTTCAGTTTCAGTGCAATGCATGTTGAAGCTCCTCGTCTGTTCATGTAAGAATCTCCAGAGCTGTGGCAGTCCAGCTGACATCATGTTGAATACATGTGATCATTAATGCATGTTTTATCTCTGTGTAGCTCCTTTCAAGGGTAAAAGCGAGACTGGTCCTCCAAAGAAGAAGAAGAGTTTTAAAGATGTGAAGAAGCCTCATCCCAAATCCCCCAAAAAGCCCTCTCCTTCAGTGGCTGCTCAGAAAGGCCCCCCCGCCGCGAAACAGCCAAAAACTCAAATAAACGGATCAACAAAACCAGCGCCTAAAGGTACCGCAAGTAAATCCATTACTCTGTTACTTTTCGTTATTTCAAAATTCTTAGTCACATATTTTGTTTTCTCTTAAAGGAGGAAAGGTACCGTCCAACTTCTCCACCGTCGATGTTTTACGCAAGAGACTTCATGAAAAAATCGAGGAGTCCAGAGGACAGGTATGCAGATTTAAAGATGATTTATTTATTCAAGATTTGAATGACATTACTCATTAGCATTTATCTAATAGTGCTTCTCAAAGTGTGGTCTGCGGACCACTGGTGGTCCGTGAGCAGCCCCTAGTGGTCCGAGTGTATATTGGTACAATTTCAAATTTAAAAAAAAAATGTAAGTCTTCAACACTCTCGCTGGAATATCTCCGCAATGGAGCGAGCTTAAGTTTCGATTGCATGATATAGCCCAGCGCAACACCTACGTCACACGTGTTGCCACTTGTTTGTACCATTTTCAGGCGATTTGTAATCTTTTCTAGTAAAACTATGTGTTTTGGGATATTTGTGGAGTTAGGTGGTCCGTGAGAGGAAAGAGTTTTGTATTGGTTAAGTGGTCCTTGGTATGAAAAAGTTTGAGAAACACTGATCAAATACGATGTGACTTTAGCTGAGACGGTAAACTCAACTGCAGCCATGGTATTAAAACCTGTAAACAAGTCAGTATTTACCTAAAAGATGATTATTGAACAGTTGATTCAACTTTTAGCGCTCAAGCCGATGCCGTTATGTGCCCATCTGGCCAGAGATCTATTCACAATGTGTGCATGTTCCTCTTTTCATCTTCTCACTAGTTTTATAGTTGGTGCTGTTCAGTTCAACATGTGGATGACGGAAGAAATGATTATATCTTTAACTCAATTGAAAGTAGCAATACGGCTCTGTATAAACATTGTGTCATTTTGCAGGATTTCACTTGTTTAAGATGACAAAAGTATTCAAAGCCAAGTGTACTTAAAGTAAAAGTAGTTAAGTCCGAATTATTCTTCTCAGATATTCTTATATCATATTATTGGCCTCTTGATTCTAAGTAAGTAGGACTTCCATATTCATGTCTGATAGTTCTTTTTTGAGCACAGTATCATATTTTTGAGGTTTTTCATAAGTTTTAATGTCAAATCTTAATATGTTAAGTAACTCCAACTATCAGATACACTGTATACAGTAGCAACAAATGTAAAAGCTTTTGTAAAAGTAGCTCAAAATGTAATGCTAGTACAGCACTGGACGCTTAAGAGAAATGTATGTCTGACTAACAAGTTGCACTTTTTTCTTATCAGGGAACCCCGAAGAACGCACTCTCTGAGGCCGTGCTGGCAAAGCGAGCAAAACGAAAGATAGAACGGGAGCGCAAGAAGAGGAAGAGGAAAGAGTTTATCCTGAAGAAGAAACTGGCTGAAGAGAATAGCCAAGAAGCGCCAGTGGAGATCAAGAAAGAACCTGAGCCCGCCCCCGCTGCGAACAAAAGAGATGTAACGGCCCTCGTCTTCAACAAGGTGGAGACGGTGGAGGAGGAGTACGTGGACAAAATACAGAAGAAGAAGCAGAAGAAGCAGAGCGTGAAGGGCCAGATAACTCCCCTGCTGGGGAAAAACTACAAGCAGCTGCTTGGCCGCGTCCAGGCTCAAAAAGCAAAAGTGAGCGAGCTGAGGGAAAAGGACGAGGACAAGGCCAAAGAAATGGAGAACAAGATCAAGTGGACCAACGTGCTCTACAAGGCCGAAGGACTCAAAATTAAGGACGACGAGGACATGCTGCGCTCCTCGCTAAAGAAGAAGGAGAAGAGGGGCGCCAGGATAAAGAAGGACTGGGGCGATCGAAGCGAGAACGTCGTGGGGAAGATGCAGAAACGGCAGGACAAGAGACGGAAGAACATCCAGAAACAGAAGAAGGCCAAAACAGAGAAGACGAAGGACAGATTGAGGAAGAGAGGCAGGGTGCTGCCGGAGGACTTGAAATGAGTGGCAGCGTGCTGTTTCATCACGACATAGGTTTAAATAAGTACATCTCTTTCTATAGCCGTACGATTTATTGACATGATATAAAAATGTATTCTTCCTTCATTCCTGTAAAGGTAATGTGATGTGTGTTGTGGTCAATAAAATGTGATCTTCACAAGATGGACATGAATGAAAACATTTTAGAATTGTTTTTTTCTTGTTGCTCAATATCAAACCTGCTGGTATTTTTTAGTAGCTTGACATTTTGGAAGATATGTTTTTTTACTTTTATTCAGATGAGAATTTATTCTTCTATCCTCAAAGATCGGTATATATTTTTGGGGAAAAGAAAACTATTATTACTGAAAAGAAATCAAAACTGTTCCTCTTTTGTCTTTTTGACAGCAGCATTAAAGAAAAAGTCAACGACAAATACAAAATATTGAAAATGCATACATTTGTAAGTAATTAAGAACAGTCTAATAAATACATGGGTTAAATCAATTTAAATTATTACATTCAGAGTCAATTAATGCACCTTTTTGCACAAACAATATATATATTATGTCTATATATATATATATATATACATTCCATCTGCTTATTTTATTTTTTTCATTTTATAGATTTTAAATATTTTTAAATGTTACATTGTGGCGTCTGTCATTACTGCGCACCAGCTGGAGTTGCATCCGGGTTACTGCTAGTTGACGTCTCGCCCCGCCCATCCAGGAAGTAGAAATGAAAACATAAGGAGGGGGGGGAGGTCTTTATTTAACTTCTTCTCCTGCTTACTAGTAAGTTATTTCGCTTAAAAGTAAATGTCCACAGGGAGAATGTGCTCATTTGGAAACCCGTGTTAATGCATTGGATTATTTTCTAGTTGTCTGTTCCAGTTCAGTTAAAGACATGTTCAGTTTCAGGTGCACAAAGCGAATGATAAATGTCCCTTTATTACAGATCATCATGTCACGAAGGATTCATGCACGAAGAACAGAAGGCGTCGATAAAAACGTTTGGTAAGTTATAATAATGGGTTTTCATTTGAATAATGAATACAAATCTCTGCTCAGAAAGACTATAAACCAAACCGTTATCGCGTGGTTTGACCATAATAACTTAAAAATATAATATATATAATGTTATTGGTGGAGCATGGGGGTGTTAATAGTGACAGCCTGGTTCAAGTCCTTTAGAAATGATTAACACATTTATGGTTCCATGCATTCAAACATGGGACACAAAGCTGTGGTGTAATATCAAGTTAAGCAGTAGCAGCTGATAACTGGGGTGTCTTCCAAAGTGCAATACAAAATAATCATTAAAAAAGAGAGAATTCATTAATACAGATTATTATTTGACAAATCAGATAATAAATATATATTTTTTAACCTAAAGTGAAACCAAAACGATTTGAAAAATCCGCATTGTTTGCACTTTTAGGAACTGAGTCAATATTTTAACCCAGATACAAATGAATTTTTACAACAAAAAAACATTATCAAGCATTTGTTATTATTATTTTACTTACTTTTTGGTACATTTATTGTTTAAAGGTCCCATGTCATGGCCATTTCTACTGATCATAATTCCATTGTTGAGGTCTACTAGAATAGATTTAAATTGTGCAATTTTCCAAACTCACATTGATTTCTCATACAGCGTCTCTGTATAGTATGTGTATTCACTCTCTGTCCTAACCGGCTTGTTGG